CTGTATTATATATATTATTGGCTCAAATTCTATTTAATCTCATCATTCAACTTATATAATCACAAACTAATCACAAACTAATCACAAAATTGAAGATTTCCGCCCATATGAATTGCTACAGGTCTGCCTATACTATTTGAAACTTAAATAAACTGTTTGCAGAATCTAACAATTTACTTTACTTTTATAGTCCGCAATGTGACCGAAATGAAAAAAATTTTCGGCCACAAGTAATAATTCAGATATGCAAAAAATGACAAACATGCAGGATAATGGCCCAAATTAAGCTTAATTTAAACAGAAATTTGAAATTACACCCTTGCAAATTATTTTATGAATATATAGTAAGATGAAGCACTGTACTAGTTATATTACAGTATTAAATTGATTTTAGTTTTGTTTTATTTTTGAAGAGGAAAACTATATTTTTCTTGATGATATTGCTTAAATATTTTTTAAAAATACCTAGATAAATTTTTATTTTTTTAAAGAATGGTAGGTTACTAAATGTGTTGGATATTAATTATTTAGATTCAGTTTTGATAAAAATCAGGCCAAATTACAATTAGAAAATTAATTTGATATAAATTACTATAACGATAAATAGGAACAAATTTTTATCTTAATTTTCTAGATTTTATATACACTATTACTTATAATTTATCTTTAATTTATATTAATTAAACGTGTCAGGCCTTTGATCAAGTTAATCTATAAAAAACCATTCCATTAGGAGTACTATTTGCAATCTTTACAACCTTGATTATTTTACCAAATTCACTGTATATATTTAAGATTTCACAATATTTGTAATTAATTGTCACCTATCACTTTTGCACTATGGCCCTCACAAATTTCCCTTAACATTGCACGCAAATAATGATAATATGAATAGAAAGTAAATTCAAGATGTAAAAAAATGATATTTTAGAATAATAGATAAATCTTATCCCAATTAATCTATAAATATTGGAACACTTCGTATTCTTCTATTTGAAATTTTTTCACTTGAGATTTTTGAGATTCTTGAAATCCATTGTCAATTTTAATCGGATTTTCATAATCACATAGATAGCATCCCCATATCCCTCCCTTTTTTTTACCTTTAACCATATAGAGGTCCGAATAACCAAAAGATGGGCCTGAGTTTTTTTTACAATAAATTGCACAATCAGCACGCTTAACTCTGCTATATATAGAATCAATGCCATTTTCTTTTAAAGCAAAAATAAAGCTATCATTTGTTTCTTTGTATCTCTGCCCTTTTTGCTTATCCCAAGTAAGCGGGTTATAACCGCCAAGAATCTCAGTTGTTTCCCGAACTTTCAAAACTATTACTGTTTTATTTATATTTTTGCACTTTTTGTAAAAGATATTTTCGGTAAAACCATCTTGGCTACCCCTGAGAATTAATTCAAGACCATGATTAATACTGGAAGATGAAGGATCTATCCAAGAAATAATTTGTTCAATTTGTTCAGGATTAATCACATTTGAAAAATTTTCATTTGATCGAATCTTTTTTAAATCTTCAAGGGCTTGCTTTATTTCTGGACGCGCAGCAGGATCTTGATCCCAACAATGTTGATAAAGTTTAATATAATCAACAGGTGTTTTTTCTATTGGATATTCCCTTCCTCCACTACTAACATGAAAAAATTTCTTACAGCCATTTATGATATTTATAGCTTCATACTTTTGCAAAACTTGGTAAACATGAACATCCAAATATTATCAAATTTTATGGAGCTACAAAAGGTAATTGAATAAAGTGGAATAAAGTGTTGTTTTACTCTATTCATGACCTCAACGTAATAATGATAAATTCATGTTATAAACAGATCCTATTAGTGGCCATGATTATTTGATTTTACAATTTGCTGTGGATGGGAATTTCCGTGAATATTTAAAGAAGAATTTTCAAGAATTAAAATGGTTTGATAAATTACGATTTGCACAAGAAATAGCTGAGGGACTATCATTTTTACATTCTAACAGAATGGTTCATCGAGATCTCGTAAGAATTTCCTATATGTTTGTTTTAATTATGTATCTTAACAAATTTATTTACTTTTATTTTTAAATATACGTAATAGCATTCAAAGAATATTTTAGTTCATAATCGACGAATGTTGATTGCGGATTTTGGAGTATCTAGACATGAAAATGATGAAACGAGTGTTGTAATTGATGGTGTATTCGGATATGTAGAACCTCAATATCTTAAAGATACTAATTATAGACGTGACAAAAGATCTGATATCTATAGTTTTGGTGTAATTCTTTGGGAGATTTCTAGTGGCAGGCCACCTTTTAGTCATTTTGCGGCTAGTATAGCAATTATTCATCATGTTAGTAGTGGAGGAAGGGAATATCCAATAGAAAAAACACCTGTTGATTATATTAAACTTTATCAAC